TAGACAGACATCAAGATAAATAACTGTTGGTGGTACAGGTGACAGACAGACTGTAGACAGGCTTTAGGATAAACTACTGTTGGTGATATAGGTGACAGACAGACTGTAGACATCAGGATAAATAAATGTTTGTGGTATAGGTGACAGACAGACTGTAGACATCAGGATAAATAAATGTTTGTGGTATAGGTGACAGACAGACTGTAGACATCAGGATAAATAAATGTTTGTGGTATAGGTGACAGACAGACTGTAGACATCAGGATAAATAAATGTTTGTGGTATAGGTGACAGACAGACTGTAGACAGACATCAGGATAAATAAATGTTTGTGGTATAGGTGACAGACAGACTGTAGACATCGGCATAAATAAATTAGTTAGTTAGTTAGTTGGGTTATCATCATTGCACTCCGGACATGTCCATAGGTGCTCAGATCCTCCCCTCAGTATGAATCCCAACGTCCGATGGCTAATAGTACCAGTTCTATGTTGATTAACAAATCTTCTGACGTGTCCGGTGTGCGTCTCGTTTTTTGCTGTGCCGATCTTAATTCCCAAGTCTGCCATTCTGGCGAGTGATGTGGATTCACTGCCACCAAAGTCCTCTATCCTTCCCATTTCTCTGAGGGCATTGATAATATCAGCATGATCCATAGGCCGACCGTCGGTAGTGATAGCGGATCCAGCCAGCCTGTCAGCTCTTTCATTTCCATCGACGCCTGCGTGTCCCGGAACAAAAATAAAGGTGACTCCTCGCACAGTGGACTTCTGAATTGATTCAAGCCATTGTCTTCGCACTGAACCTGCCTGAACCCTCCGGATCATACTCATTGAATCACTGAGTATACATATGCGGGTGTATTTTTGTGTTTCAAGCCAGGCAAACGCTTGCGTCACTGCCATCACCTCCATCGTCATGCTGCTGGTTGTCATGGAGAAGGCGCCGTTGGCTTCTTTGACTGTTCTGCCCGCTGAGCGTGCTGTAAATGCCCATGCGCTTCTTCTTTGGCGTATAACGGATCCATCTGTATAGATTAGTGCATCTGCTTCGTCTGAATTTTCACCGATGAGAGCATTGACCTCTGCATTAACAGCAACAGGATTCTCTTCTCTACATCGCCTGTTGAGTGTGACAATACAGGAAAATGTACAAATAAACGCCTGAGGCACAGGTATCCATTCTGCACCAGGTATGATGTCGGTTAGGCTGCATATTTGCCTAATAACATCTTCTGCCCGACCTAGCCACGATTTTCCCCTCTTCAGTCTGTCGCCCTTTTCACTAAAAAGCGCTTGATGCAGTGGGTGTTTCTTATCAGCACATATTTTGAGGTATGCCCGAGCCCTCCACATCCTGATCCTTTGGTTCATTGTTGGAAAGTCAAGTAGATACCTCATTGCTCCACAGGATGTGTCTCTTGTACATCCCAAAATAATACGCATGGCTTCATTTTGCACCTTCTCGAGTCGTTCAATCTGGGTAGCACTGACAGTGAGGATGGCCAGAGCGTATTCAATGGGGGAAAGGACCAGACCGTAGAATAGAAGCACCAGCAGTCTTTGCTCGATATTGGAAGCAGCCATAATCCTCATTGCAGATAGACCTTTGCGTGCTTTTGTTATCGCATGGTCAACGTGTTCCCTGAATGACAAGCTGCGATCAAACCTCACCCCGAGAAACGTCATAACGTTGGTTCTGATCAATACATTATCACGCATTTTCACTTCTGGTAAGTCCGACTTGACAATGTGATTGTTCAAAGAGAACCATGACACTGCTGCCTTCGAGGGATTGACATAGGCATTGGAACCATCACACCAGGCGGCAATTCGATCGAGTTCTTTGTGCATTGTGCTGGCGATCTCCTGTCTATCACGCCCTCGTCGATAAATCAAAATGTCATCAGCAAATGACAAAGTCCTTCCCTTTCCATTCAACTGTTGCTCAGTGATCATCACCGTATAAACGTTGAATAAGACTGGTGATAGCGGTGATCCCTGTGGCAAGCCTGGACATATCGTTTGCGGTTCTGAGGACCAGCTACCACATCTTAGTGCAATCTTTCTCTGGAACAGGACCGCAGCAATCCAGCGGATCAGAATAGGATTGACTTCTAGTTTAAGCAGTAATTGCATTAAATAATCATATGGTACTTTATTGTAGGCATCTTCTAAGTCCAACACTGGTACTTTATTGTAGCCGCACATGTCTCTTCTTTAATCTGAAATCCCTCGTACACATCGTAGGCGAAAACAGCAGCATTGGACCATGTCTCTTTCTTCAATCTGTACCCTCCAAGTGTTGATGGGAACTTATCATGTAGTTCTAAGTAGGTGGTCAATCTTTGTGCGACAATTTTTTCCAAAAGTTTGCCAACAGTATTCTGCATCGAGATGATTCTGTAGCCGCAGATCTTTGAGTGGTCTTTATTAGGCTTTGGTAGTGGAAACAAATAACTATGGAGCCATTCCTCTTGTATCTGGCCACTCTGGCTGCTGATATTGAATTCCTTTGCCACGCTTTTCAAATCAGCATTCGACATCATCAGCATGTCATTGTATCGGATGCCGTCAGGGCCTGGAGCAGTGCTGCGCGATTTCTTGAGGCAAGTTCTTAAGGTGTCTGCAGTGATTGTGAAATCAGTGCCTAGCTCAGTGTTCTCGCACAGCATCGACAGTTTCATCTTAACCCCTATTCTTGCAGCTTCGTCTTTTTGGTCAGTTTGCTCCAAGTAGCGCGCAAGAAGGGTTTTTCCTTTATCAGCATCAGTTCTCTGCCATATCAGGTCTGTACCCTGAAAATCAGGGATACCCCTTGGTCGTGCGGCGCCGTGCATGCTCCGTTGAAGGCGCCAGAATGTCACGAGAGATCCCTCGGAGCAAACGCTCTTGCAGAATTCGTTCCATTTCGCTGTCTTGGCTTCTTTCGCAATTAACTTGAAAGCCACTGTCCGCTTGTTGACCTCATCTTTATGCTTCCGGCATAAATAAATGTTTGTGGTATAGGTGACAGACAGACTGTAGACATCGGCATAAATAAATGTTTGTGGTATAGGTGACAGACAGACTGTAGACAGACATCAGGATAAATAACTGTTGGTGGTATACAGGTGACAGACTAGACAGACATCAAGATAAATAACTTCTGGGGGTACAGGTGACAGACTGTAGACAGATATCAAGATAAATAACTTTTGGGGGTACTGGTGACAGACTGTAGACAGACATCAAGATAAATAACTGTTGGTGGTACAGGTGACAGACAGACTGTAGACATCAGGATAAATAAATGTTTGTGGTACAGGTGTCAGACATACTGTAGACATCAGGATAAATAAATGTTTGTGGTACAGGTGTCAGACAGACTGTAGACAGACATCAGGATAAATAAATGTTTGTGGTACAGGTGACAGACAGACTGTAGACAGACATCAAGATAAAATACTTTTGGGGGTACAGGTGACAGACTGTAGACAGACATCAAGATAAATTACTTTTGGGGGTACAGGTGACAGACTAGACTGACATCAAAATAAATAACTGTTGGTGGTATAGGTGACAGACTGTAGACAGACATCAATATAAATAACTGTTGGTGGTACAGGTGACAGACTGTAGACAGACATCAAGATAAATAACTGTTGGTGGTACAGGTGACAGACTGTAGACAGACATCAAGATAAATGAAGGTGGTACAGGTGACAGACTGTAGACAGACATCAGGATAAATGACGGTGGTAGAGGTAAAAGACTGTAGACAGACATCAAGATAAATGACGGTGGTAGAGGTGACAGACTGTAGACAGACATCAAGATAAATGACGGTGGTAGAGGTGACAGACTGTAGACAGACATCAAGATAAATGACGGTGGTAGAGGTGACAGACTGTAGACAGACATCAGGATAAATGACGGTGGTACAGGTAACAGACTGTAGACAGACATCAAGATAAATGAAGGTGGTACAGGTGACAGGCTGTAGACAGACATCAGGATAAATGACGGTGGTAGAGGTGACAGACTGTAGACAGACATCAAGATAAATGACGGTGGTAGAGGTGACAGACTGTAGACAGACATCAGAATAAATGACAGTGGTACAGGTGACAGACCAACTGTAGACTGACATCAAGAGAAATAAGTGTTGGTGGTACAGGTGACAGACAAACTGTAGACAGACATCAAGATAAGTAACTGTTGGTGTTACAGGTGACAGACAGACTGTAGACAGACATCAAGATAAATAACTGTTGGTGGTACAGGTGACAGACAGACTGTAGACAGACATCAAGATAAATAACTGTTGGTGGTACAGATGACAGACTGTAGACAGACATCAAGATAAATAACTGTTGGTGGTACAAATGACAGACAGACTGTAGACAGACATCAAGATAAATAACTGTTGGTGGTACAGTTGACAGACAGACTGTAGACAGGCTTTAGGATAAACCACTTTTGGTGGTATAGGTGACAGACAGACATCAGGATAAATAAATGTTTGTGGTATAGGTGACAGACAGACTGTAGACAGACATCAGGATAAATAACTGTTGGTGGTACAGGTGACAGACAGACTGTAGACAGACATCAAGATAAGTAACTGTTGGTGGTACAGGTGACAGACAGACCGTAGACAGACATCAAGATAAGTAACTGTTGGTGGTACAGGTGACAGACAGACCGTAGACAGACATCAAGATAAGTAACTGTTGGTGGTACAGGTGACAGACAGACTGTAGACATTAGGATAAATAAATGTTTGTGGTATAGGTGACAGACAGACTGTAGACAGACATCAGGATAAATAAATGTTTGTGGTATAGGTGACAGACAGACTGTAGACAGACATCAGAATAAATAAATGTTTGTGGTATAGGTGACAGACTGTAGACAGACATCAGAATAAATAAATTTTTGTGGTACAGGTGACAGACAGACTGTAGACAGACATCTATTTTTTTAAAGTCAGTATTTATTGGTTGCTATTTGTTTCAGAGAAGCATTGCAGACCATATTATCTGGTTCGGGTGAAGCTACTACAGACAGCCAGTAAGAGGTGTGAGCTATTTCCTGTTCATATTGAAGGGGAAAAGATACATTTTAATATTGTGCCTTCATATTTCTCATCTTTACGATAGATAATGGATCTCTAACCTGCATTGTCTGTTTCACTCATAAAAGTTGATGTTTTTAATCTGTGAATATTGTTCACAAATGTAGGATGGTAAGGATTGTTATCAACTGGCAGAGACAGTTGTGTCCTTGTTTGGTATGACCACAGAGATGTGTTTGCTCAGCATGTTTGAAAACCTGTGAGAGGAGAGGTATTGATGGAATCTAATGTTGGCTTGCATCTGCCATGGAAAATAAAGTGCTGGATATTTGAATAAAGTAACTTGTTGAGTTGAATCATTGTGAATTAGATTACTATGACCAAAGATCTTGGTAATCTTAGTTTCAGCTTCATAGCAAACGGGTCATCTCATAGTTGCTCCGCTCCTGTGCCAACGAAAAACACACAGCATGTTCGTCACAGTCCCTAGTGGAAAGATTGGCAGACTGCTGTCTCAGCATATGCACTAACATACACACGCATTAAAAGCATACGGTAGCCATCAGAAGTGCTGACACAGTTTGACATTAGAAATGCAGTTCATCATCGAAGGTAGCAGAAGTTACCAACAGATCAGCAGTTGCACACGCGATCAATATTAATCACATAAGGGCATCACCAATACTGCGACAATAGGCTACGTGCCATTTTCTAAATCTACAGATCACAACACCACGTTGGTCAGTCGAAAAACATTCCAAATGAAATCTGCAGCTTACAGAGTCTCGCCATGCACTCAACTCAGTAGCTGGGCGACGAAACTATATCCGTTCAGTCTACAAATGGATAAAAAATGCAACAGCCACCGTCTGGAAAATTTGCCTCCACGTGAAACAGTGACCGCGACTAGCGTCCATTTTGACCGGAAGCCAATGACCAAAGACTTTGTATTTGCCAGATTTTGTTTGGATAGATACCAGTTTGCTGTACTTGTATCTGTTGTTTGGATAGCCACCAGTTTGCTGTACTTGTATCTGTTGTTTAGATAGCCAGCAGTTTACTGTACTTGTATCTGTTGTTTGGATAGCCAGCAGTTTGCTGTACTTGTATCTGTTGTTTAGATAGTCAGCTGTTTTCTGTACTTGTATCTGTTGTTTAGATAGCAGTTTGCTGTACTTGTATCTGTTGTTTGGATAGCCAGCAGTTTGCTGTACTTGTATCTGGATACCCAGCAGTTTGCTGTACTTTTATCTGTTGTTTGGATAGCCAGCAGTTTGCTGTACTTGTATCTGTTTTTTAGATAGTCAGCCGTTTGCTGTACTTGTATCTGTTGTTTAGATAGCCAGCAGTTTGCTGTGCTTGTATCTGTTGTCTGGATAGCCAGCAGTTTGCTGTACTTGTATCTGTTGTTTGGATGGCCAGCAGTTTGCTGTACTTGTATCTGGATAGCCAGCAGTTTGCTGTACTTGTATCTGTTGTTTGGATAGCCAGCAGTTTGCTGTACTTGTATCTCTTGTTTGGATAGCCAGCAGTTTGCTGTACTTGTATCTCTTGTTAGGATAGCCAGCAGTTTGCTGTACTTGTATCTGTTGTTTAGATAGCCAGCAGTTTGCTGTACTTGTATCTGTTGTTTGGATAGCCAGCAGTTTGCTGTACTTGTATCTGTTGTTTAGATAGTCAGCTGTTTGCTGTACTTGTATCTGTTGTTTGAATAGCCAGCAGTTTGCTTTACTTGTATCTGTTGTTTAGATAGCCAGCAGTTTGCTGTACTTGTATCTCTTGTTAGGATAGCCAGCAGTTTGCTGTACTTGTATCTGTTGTTAGGATAGCCAACAGTTTGCTGTACTTGTATCTGTTGTTTGGATAGCCAGCAGTTTGCTGTACTTGTATCTGTTGTTTGGATAGCCAGCAGTTTGCTGTACTTGTATCTGTTGTTTAGATAGTCAGCTGTTTGCTGTACTTGTATCTGTTGTTTGAATAGCCAGCAGTTTGCTGTACTTGTATCTGTTGTTTAGATAGCCAGCAGTTTGCTGTACTTGTATCTCTTGTTAGGATAGCCAGCAGTTTGCTGTACTTGTATCTGTTGTTTGGATAGCCAGCAGTTTGCTGTACTTGAATCTGTTGTTTAAATATCCAGCAGTTTGCTGTACTTGTTTCTGTTGTTTGGATAGCCAGCAGTTTGCTGTACTTGTACCTGTTGTTTGGATAGCCAGCAGTTTGCTGTACTTGTATCTGTTGTTTAGATAGCCAGCAGTTTGCTGTACTTATATATGTTGTTTGGATAGCCAGCAGTTTGCTGTACTTGTATCTGTTGTTTAGATAGCCAGCAGTTTGCTGTACTTGTATCTGTTGTTTGGATAGCCAGCAGTTTGCTGTACTTGTATCTCTTGTTAGGATAGCCAGCAGTTTGCTGTACTTGTTTCTGTTGTTTGGATAGCCAGCAGTTTGCTGTACTTGTATCTGTTGTTTAGATAGCCAGCAGTTTGCTGTACTTGTATCTCTTGTTAGGATAGCCAGCAGTTTGCTGTACTTGTTTCTGTTGTTTGGATAGCCAGCAGTTTGCTGTACTTGTATCTGTTGTTTAGATAGCCAGAAGTTTGCTGTACTTGTATCTGTTGTTTAAATATCCAGAAGTTTGCTGTACTTGTTTCTGTTGTTTGGATAGCCAGCAGTTTGCTGTACTTGTATCTGTTGTTTGGATAGCCAGCAGTTTGCTGTACTTGTATCTCTTGTTAGGATAGCCAGCAGTTTGCTGTACTTGTATCTGTTGTTTGGATAGCCAGCAGTTTGCTGTACTTGTATCTGTTGTTTAAATATCCAGCAGTTTGCTGTACTTGTTTCTGTTGTTTGGATAGCCAGCAGTTTGCTGTACTTGTATCTGTTGTTTGGATAGCCAGCAGTTTGCTGTACTTGTATCTGTTGTTTGGATAGCCAGCAGTTTGCTGTACTTGTATCTGGATAGCCAGCAGTTTGCTGTACTTTTATCTGTTGTTTGGATAGCCAGCAGTTTGCTGTACTTGTATCTGTTTTTTAGATAGTCAGCCGTTTGCTGTACTTGTATCTGTTGTTTAGATAGCCAGCAGTTTGCTGTGCTTGTATCTGTTGTCTGGATAGCCAGCAGTTTGCTGTACTTGTATCTGTTGTTTGGATGGCCAGCAGTTTGCTGTACTTGTATCTGGATAGCCAGCAGTTTGCTGTACTTGTATCTGTTGTTTGGATAGCCAGCAGTTTGCTGTACTTGTATCTCTTGTTTGGATAGCCAGCAGTTTGCTGTACTTGTATCTCTTGTTAGGATAGCCAGCAGTTTGCTGTACTTGTATCTGTTGTTTGGATAGCCAGCAGTTAGCTGTACTTGTATCTGTTGTTTAAATATCCAGCAGTTTGCTGTACTTGTTTCTGTTGTTTGGATAGCCAGCAGTTTGCTGTACTTGTATCTGTTGTTTAAATATCCAGCAGTTTGCTGTACTTGTTTCTGTTGTTTGGATAGCCAGCAGTTTGCTGTACTTGTATCTGTTGTTTGGATAGCCAGCAGTTTGCTGTACTTGTATCTGTTGTTTGGATAGCCAGCAGTTTGCTGTACTTGTATCTGGATAGCCAGCAGTTTGCTGTACTTTTATCTGTTGTTTGGATAGCCAGCAGTTTGCTGTACTTGTATCTGTTTTTTAGATAGTCAGCCGTTTGCTGTGCTTGTATCTGTTGTCTGGATAGCCAGCAGTTTGCTGTACTTGTATCTGTTGTTTGGATGGCCAGCAGTTTGCTGTACTTGTATCTGGATAGCCAGCAGTTTGCTGTACTTGTATCTGTTGTTTGGATAGCCAGCAGTTTGCTGTACTTGTATCTCTTGTTTGGATAGCCAGCAGTTTGCTGTACTTGTATCTCTTGTTAGGATAGCCAGCAGTTTGCTGTACTTGTATCTGTTGTTTGGATAGCCAGCAGTTTGCTGTACTTGTATCTGTTGTTTGGATAGCCAGCAGTTTGCTGTACTTGTATCTGTTGTTTAGATAGTCAGCTGTTTGCTGTACTTGTATCTGTTGTTTGAATAGCCAGCAGTTTGCTTTACTTGTATCTGTTGTTTAGATAGCCAGCAGTTTGCTGTACTTGTATCTCTTGTTAGGATAGCCAGCAGTTTGCTGTACTTGTATCTGTTGTTAGGATAGCCAGCAGTTTGCTGTACTTGTATCTGTTGTTTGGATAGCCAGCAGTTTGCTGTACTTGTATCTGTTGTTTGGATAGCCAGCAGTTTGCTGTACTTGTATCTGTTGTTTAGATAGTCAGCTGTTTGCTGTACTTGTATCTGTTGTTTGAATAGCCAGCAGTTTGCTGTACTTGTATCTGTTGTTTAGATAGCCAGCAGTTTGCTGTACTTGTATCTCTTGTTAGGATAGCCAGCAGTTTGCTGTACTTGTATCTCTTGTTAGGATAGCCAGCAGTTTGCTGTACTTATATCTGTTGTTTGGATAGCCAGCAGTTTGCTGTACTTGTATCTGTTGTTTAGATAGCCAGCAGTTTGCTGTACTTATATATGTTGTTTGGATAGCCAGCAGTTTGCTGTACTTGTATCTGTTGTTTAGATAGCCAGCAGTTTGCTGTACTTGTATCTGTTGTTTGGATAGCCAGCAGTTTGCTGTACTTGTATCTCTTGTTAGGATAGCCAGCAGTTTGCTGTACTTGTTTCTGTTGTTTGGATAGCCAGCAGTTTGCTGTACTTGTATCTGTTGTTTAGATAGCCAGCAGTTTGCTGTACTTGTATCTCTTGTTAGGATAGCCAGCAGTTTGCTGTACTTGTTTCTGTTGTTTGGATAGCCAGCAGTTTGCTGTACTTGTATCTGTTGTTAAGATAGCCAGAAGTTTGCTGTACTTGTATCTGTTGTTTAAATATCCAGCAGTTTGCTGTACTTGTTTCTGTTGTTTGGATAGCCAGCAGTTTGCTGTACTTGTATCTGTTGTTTGGATAGCCAGCAGTTTGCTGTACTTGTATCTGTTGTTTGGATAGCCAGCAG